ATGAGTTGGATTTGGAGTGTGGGGGGCCAGGGATGGATGATTCAAGGGGAATGTGAGTCAAAGTGCCCTTGGACAGCAGAAGAGCAGCCTGGCTGGAGCTGAGCTGTGAAGTGATGGACTTGACCCTGAAGGCACAAGGGAGTCACTGTAGATTCATAAAGCAGGTAGTGATGTGATGAAAGCAGTGATTTAGGAAGTGTAATCCGCCTGCAGATGCCAACTTGGAGTGGGGTGAGAGAGAAGATTCCAGGGGAAAAGAATGAAGGCCACTAAAGGAGTCCATGGGTGGCATCATGGGTCCTGGCCTCGGGCAGAGACCCTGCGGGCGAACAGCAAGGGCTGACGATGAAAGATAATTCCATAGAGGTTGTTAGAGGAGAGAGAGTCTTCACAGACAATACCAAAGTTTTAAATATCATGACTGGGAGAGGGAAGATGCCACTTACAGAATTAAGGAAGACAAGAGAAGGAATTAGTTTGGGCAGTTGGAAAGACACACAGAGTTGAGTTAGAGGCTGGCCAAAGTCCAAGGAACAGCAAACACTCCAGCTGAAAATATCTGGACTCACAGGACCAAAGCTCAACAGAAAGACAGAGGTGGAAGATATTTCCAAATCAATCTCTTTTCATTTATGCTCTTGTCTTCCTCTGAGTTTTAAAGGAAGAGGTTTCTCCTCTGCTCACCAAAACTACGCTCTTCCTTTTGTTACAGAACCTACACTTGTCTCACCTGTTCACGTATCTAATTCAACAATCAATCTAGCATCTTCAGTTTTTCCTGTCCATTAGCTTTCCCCCTTCCACCTCCAAACCTCTTCTGACTCTCTGGCAAAAAATGAAAACTCCTTTTCCTGATATTAATAACATCCCTTCTGACTAGCCCCCAACCTCTCTTTTTTTCACTGATAAACTCTGCAAGTAACTGATTGCTACCCTCCACCCCAAATCCCTACTCCAAATGCCTCTGCTAACACTGTGCTCCCAAGAGCTCACAGTAGCCTTCTTTTCATCACATCCAGTAACACTTACCCAGTGCTCCTCCTGCTCAACCTGTCTGCAGCCTGTCATCACATCAGAACCCATGCTTACTCTCTGGGGTCTCCAAGATCAAGTCTCCTTTGCTGCCACTTCCTAAATAAGGGTTTTTCCCCCAAATTCTAACTTTAGCCCTTCCCCTCTTTCCTCCACTCCCTCCCTCTGAGAGTCAACGCATTCACACAGCTTCAGCTGCATCCAGCCTTGAGCGAGAAGGCTTCCAAGTCCACATCACCAGCCCTAACCTCCTGCCCATGCTCATGTCTTGAGTCCCACATTACCCACAAAACTTCACCTGGATGTCCCTCCATCATCTCCAATTCTCCATGTCCAAGGCTAACGTCATTATCTGCCCTGCCAAACCGGCTCTTGGCCTCAACTAGACCATGTCAGTCGGGACACTGTTAGTCCTCTACACTCTCAACACAGCCACTTCTGTTTCCTCATGGGCTTAAGTTTCTTTTCCCCCTATAACTAGTTTCTCAAGAAACCCCCACATTTCTGCCTTTGAAAATGTCTCTCAGAGTTGTTCCTGATTCCCCATCCTTTATGCCACCAACCCAGACCAAGCCCCTTCCTCCTCAGCTCTGGATCACATTTGCATCTCCCTGGATTCTTTCTCTCTCTTCTCTACTTCATCAATCATATTACCCCCAGATTAACCTTTCCAAATACCACTTCCTTCAGGATATACCCTTGCTCAAGAACCTCCAATGACTCCCTACCACTCCCGAATCAAATCCAAACTCCTCTCTTGGGCTTCCAAGACTCTCCCTACCTGGCTCTGCCCTACTTACCCACCTCCGTTTCCCATTCCTCCCTAACCTACACCTTTCACACAATCCGCGCCACAATCCTCAATGTCAGTGCCCCAGCCTCCCCTGTGCCTTTGCCCAGGCTGCTCTTTCCACTCTCCATCCCCCTTCAAGGGCTACTCTCAGCTCCATTCCTCCGTAGTTCCATAGTTCCGTCAACTTTTTATCTTATAGCACCATAATGGTTAGCAATTAACCTCTAATTGAGCAGTAATTGTCAATCTTCCTTTTAAAGTTCTTCAAAGTCAAAGACCACTTTGAATATTTCCTTTGTATTCCACAGCACCCTGGACAGCAGAAGGTTCCTAGCAAGAGTTGAATAGTCTTTGTTGGGTTTTCTATTCCAGTTGGGCTCTAGTCCCAGTTCTGAGTTCCCATATTTCCTCTCCTCTGCCTCATAACTATGATCAATAAAATTATTGCAACACACTTTTCCCAGGCATAGAACAGAGTTCCCAGGAAGATGATATGGAATCCACCAATCTATAGGAAGAGCAGGCTGGGGTGTGTGTGTGTGTGTGTTTGTGTCCATGTGCATGCAGGGAAGTGAGATTTAGGGAATCTAGCTTCATTAATTGGTCAAGAGAACTGAAACACCAAAATAATCAGAAGAGGACAAGTAAGGAATTAAAATGACATTATTATTCGAAACATGCCTAATTAGAAGCACCTTACGCCAGGGTTTTGACAAAGCAATTGCCAGTCTGGTCTTTGCGCGAGCAAAATTTTCCACCAGATAGTAGGGGGTAACCCTGGTGCTAGGAACTTTGAAAATGTGTTTGAAGGTTTCTCAATTGTTCAGTTGAATGAATTTATAATCTGTCTAGCCTACCAGGTATAGTGCTATGTTCCACAAAGATAGGGAATCTGAGGGGAGAAGGTTAAGAAATATGGCCTTTTCCAGGCTTAAGAATCCCCAGCAAGAGCCAAGGCTAGAGACTAGAGGGGGTAAGATCAGGAAGCAGAGCACAGACGGCCACTCGGGGGTAGGAGGGGGCGGTCCTAGACCCAGCCTGCCCTCCCTCTTGCAACTTGTTTCAGGTCATCAGTCACTTCCAGCCTTATGCATTGAAGATTTAACCTTTCTCTGATTCTAAGTGCACATCAGACCTAGCCCCCACTCAACAAGGCTGCCCAAGGAGGAAGAGAAAATCCCCAACAGGAGTCTCACAGGAGACAGTTCCCAGTCTGCCATTTACTCTATGATTTGAGCCAAAGCTAGACAACGTAAGCCACATGTTGTGTTTTGAAAGGCCCTGGGAAAAGTAACACATTGGACCATTACAGGCCATTAACACCATTAACACTGTGTGAATTCATTTGTCAGAAATTAGCAAGCCTCCAGAAACTGAGCTCTGCTCCAAGGGCCTGGGGCAGAGAATGAACGGGAACTAGTGTTTGGATGGTAGGAAAGGGGAAGAGGGAGTGGTCACCAAAAGATGAAAGTGGGGTCCAGAAAGGGAAGGTGGGAAGGCTCGCACTTCACGAGTTTTCCCCAGAGCTAAGAAAAGGCAGACTTTTGCCCCAGATGGGAGGCAAGGGGGGCAGGGGAGACCGCCTAGCGAGTGTTTCCAGGTACCACTTAGCCCCCCAAAACCTCTCCCCTAGATGCCAGGTTATAAACTCAGGTCAGGCACCTCTCTAGAATCCATGCTTTGGGTTCTGGGCAGGGTGTGTGAGTTAGTGTGTGTGTGTGTGTGAGAGAGAGAGAGAGAGAGAGAGAAAGAGAGAAAAAGAGAGAGACAGAGAGAGAGGGGGGATGTGTATATAGAAACCACCTCTGGGGAAAAGGAAGGAGGGAGGGAGGTAAGGCTGCGCCCTGGGAAGCAGGATGGAGAAACAGGCTCCCTCTGCTTTCTCCAGGCTGTGGCATCAGCTCCTGTCCTCCAGCTCTTTCCTCTTCAGACCAACTAGAAAATGAACATATGGGCCAATCGAGTCTGGACTTCTAAAGCCACAAGTCTCCCCAACAATGCACCCCACCGCCTTCCCTAGAGATGACCTCCAGGGCAAGGCAATGAGGTTAGGAAACAGATGGATGTGCAGAGAGCCTGCAGTGCTAACCTGATCCCTGACCCCACCAGTTCATGTCCTCTAATCCAACTGACCAAAAGAGAGGGCAGATGTGCAGGGCCCCCATAACTTATTGGACTCCTTGGGACAAAGATTCCAGACAAAATGGTTCCAGACGTGGGAGACGAGAAGCTCTACCAAGTTTGTGGAAGCCACAGATAAAGGGGAGATGAGGAATCCCTTGCCATCAGAGAAACAGGGCCACAGGTGGTGGGAGATGAGGGTGGTCGGTGTCTGTTCTGGAGAGGGGGCTGTGCAGCCAGGGAACAGGAGGAGCTATAGACCTGGGGGATGGGAGGTGGCAGGGGCTGCAAACAGCTGGAGAGACAGATCTAGGGGCTTTACATACCACAGGCAAGCAAAGATTCAGTGGGTGTGTATGAGGGGGACGCTAACTCAGACTTCCAGGAATGAGTGATTCTTATGAAAAGCTCATCCGCTCCCAGAACTGGAGAAGAGGAGGACAAGGAGGAGGTCTGAGGCGCCCACCCCCCTCGGATCCCGGTCTGCCTCTCAAGTCTGAGACGCTGGCTCCCCACACGCACCAGGCACGACCGTCCTGGGTCCGCCGCGCTCCTGACTGTCAGTCTGCAGCCTGCGCGACTCCCGGTCCCCACTGCCCCTCTTCGCACATCAGGGCCCCGGGCCCCTGGCCCCAGAAGGGGTGCCAACCCAGGGCGGCTGGAGCCCGGCTGACAGCGCTGGGAGGGGGCAGCCGAGGGAGGGGCCAGGGACGCCGGTAGCCGGAGCGGCGCGCTGCAAAGTGATCCAACATCGCCCCATCCCCGCGCTCCGGGAGAAGGCGGCCCGAGGGGACCGCCTCCCGCCTACCCTACACAGACTCCCGCAAGTGAGGAGAACGGCGAGGGGCGCCGAGCTCCCAGCCCCCACCCCTCCCCAAAACGCCAGCAGCATTGCCATAACAACAAGAATTTCGGCAACTCCAGCCCCGACGACGAGGGGGACTGCCCCCCAGCACGCACGCCCCAGCAACAGCCCTCCTTCCCCAAACTTGTCCGAGACGCCGCGCCCACGGCAGCGGCCCTCCCCCGGCCCCCCGCGCCCTGCCCGGCTTACCTGTCCGGAAAAAGGCGTCCACGTCCGAGTCGGCTGCTCCTCCTTCCTCCGCTGCCCCCTCCGGGGGGTTCATGACTGGGGAGGGCGTCCGCGGGCAGCCGGGGGCCAGCGAAGCCTGGGGCCGAGGGCGGCGGGGC